CCTCACGACTGTGTGAACTGCTGGCTGTTTCTCCACCAGGGACATTTATTTATTTGAGCTCGAGATGAGGGAAGCAGCAGCTTTGAAAGCCGTGCACTTCTGGCCGCTTGGCAATCTTTCCTGGCTACAGGCAGACTCTGTCCCCTCAGAGACAGCCAGTGTCCGGCTCTGACCCCCTGGGCGGGGGCTGTCCTGAGGCTGGAGGTGGGCGGGCTGAGCGGAGCAGGCTGCAGCAGGGAGAACTGCCCCAAGTGTCGCCAGCTGATCGGCTTCCAGGCTGCTCTGAGTCTTCCCAGTACTGCCCAACCAGCACTAAACTCTGGGGCAGCCCCGCAGGAGCCCTGGGGTTCTCCCCAGGGTCTTGGAGGGGCCTGCACTGGGCCCCGTTATAACTGCACATCTGGGGCACCACCCTGATTTGGAAGGCAGGTTCCAGCCCCTCAAAGGATGTGAGTTCCTCTGACCCACTAGCAAACAGCTCTGAGGGCAGAGTGTGGCATTGTGACGGGACAAGGCCCTAGCAGTCAGGACATCAGGCTGCCGGGGCCTGGTCTTGTCAGCACGTGACCCGGGCACCATGATCCGTCGAGTCCCCGTGGCCTACAGTTCTGTGACTTACTCATTTCTTAGGAAGATCAGGACATCTCTTAGAGTTCTCTTTCTTATCTAAGAAAAAAAAAAAAAAAAACAAAAACTCGTGTTTTCTTCTGCAAACTGTTCAACGTCAGCATGTCAAGGTTGGCTTCCCAGCCTTGGTGGAAAGTGAATTCAGTACTGAGGATAACTGAATGGTGTAGAGATTGCTCTCCTGCCTAATGGCTTGCTGAGAATATTAAAACCTGCAGAGGGGGAAATGGGTGGAAAGCAATTTGTTGCACGCAGCCTTCGGACAAACTGTTTTAATAGGAAGTAGAGCCCTCAGCTTTCTCCGATATGATCTGCCCAGGCTCCTCCCACCCAAGCAGCAGGCTAATTGCATTTCTGCTTAGCATCCGCGGGCCCAGTCTTGAACTACCCCCGCCCCTGCCCCAGCAGCCAGAGGATTCCCGAGTGAAGACCTCCTCCTCTGGAAACAGGAGGCCCTGGTGCTGCTCGAGATGGCTGTGTGCAGAGCAGGCATGCAGAGGAGGTGCCGGAGCAGTGAGCATGGCAAGCCAGGGCCCACGTGAGCGGAGTGGAGGCGGCTGCATTCCGTGGTGAGAGGAGGGTGGAGGGTGGGGCTTGGAGTGGAGAGCAGGACGGAGGTGGAAGGGGTCTCCCAGAGGCAAGCTTCGGCATGTGGGGATGAGTTCTGTGTCACGGGTGACTTCGCGCTCAGCCTCCTGCTGAGTGGAGATTTTAATCAGCTTCCCTAATGGGTATGGACACTGCTCAGGAGCAGGAGACCCTGTCGGGGACAGCTATTGATCGCTTAGGCCCTGATCAGATTGGAAATAGATCAACTTCGTGGCAGCACAGGAACTGCCATTGGCACAGCTGCTGGGGAGTGAGGTGGTCTCTGAACAGCCCGTCTGCAGTGGCGGGCACATCGCTGGGACGTGGTGGAGGGCTGGCCGCCCAGGCCAGGAAGCCCCTCCTTGGGAAGAGCTGAGTAAGAAGGGGGTGTGTCTGAAGGTAGTACCACCCATGCGTGCTCTGGCTGGACCTACGAAGTTTAACGATTTGGGGATCATTGGTGCTTCTAGCCTGTGTGCCCATGCCCATCTGCCAGCCCAGAGCTTTCCAAATTAGGTCTGCCGTAGGTGGTTTTTTTTGTTGTTGTTTTGTTTTGTTTTTTTGTTTTTTTTTAAAGGCAAAGTGAGAGAGAGATCTTCCATCCACCAGCTTACTCTCCAAATGCCCTAACACGGAGGTCTGGGTCTGGCCAAAGCCAAAAGCCAGGAACTTCATCCTGGCCTCTCATGGGTGGCAGGGGCCCAAGCACTTGGCCCAGGCACATCTGCAGGAAGCTGGATCAGAAGCAGAGGAGCTGGGATCTGAACCGGTGCTGTAGTATGGGATGTCGGCATCGCGGTCCCAGCTTCACCCCGTCACCTCAGCACCAGGCCCTAGGGCTTGCCTCTTCTTGGTTAGAAATGGGAACTCAGAAGCCAGATTGTTCCACGTGCACTGTTCTGTAATTCAGATCTGTGCTCTGCCTCCCACTCCCTGGGAGGGCTTTTCCCTGAGCTCTTCCCAGTGCTTTGCTTATCATTTTGGACGGGTGATCTGCCAGAGTGATGTTTTCTGTTGTTTCTTCTCTAAGTTTTCCTCTAATGCTTCCAATAAAGCTTTCTTGGGTGGCCCCGGAGGTGACATCAGGCTGCTCTTATGTCCTTCCAAGATAAACACGGCCGTCCTTTCCCTCCTGGCTCCCCCTGCCTTCCTCCTGGCTTCCCTCACTAGCAGCTCATGGTGCTTCGGAAAGGAGGGTTCCCCTGAGCCAGACGAGAGCCCTGGCAGAGCCTCACCCCCCAGCAGCTGCCCCCACCCCTGCTCTCACGTCCAGAGCTCCAGGCTGGGCCGATGGCCGCTCCGAGACGAGGCCTTAGGCCTCTGGGACTCCTCTGTCACTGGCCAGGGAGGTCATGGCGCGCACTGTCTGCTCTGCCGTCCTTGTCTGCTGGTAAGGCAGAAGTGTGTCTTCAGCACACAGCTGAGCGGTGTGTCGGTGCCCCGGCAGCGCAGCTCACCCACTGCTGCACTGCAGGGGAAGCACTTGTTGGGGGTTGGGGGGAGCCTCTGACGTTCTCCCAGAACCAGAGCTGGGGGGCAGAGTGCAGTACTGAACAAGGGACACGCCAGGGCCAGGACCTGTTCCGCTCTCCCTTCAATGTGTCTGCCCTGGCTTGTTCTCTCCCACTCTGCTGGAACCTAGAAGATTCCAGTTTGTTCACTGGGCAAGAGGGGCAAGGTATAGGGCTGCAGGGGCACGGGAGGGCTCTGGGGGATGCAGCAGTCCCAACTACCCCCTCCTCTAGCCAGAGTCCTGGAGCCCTCAACAGGTCGGGCCTGCCGCCTGCTGCCCCCCCCCCCCCGGCTGGGCCATGGCTTCCACGAAAAGCACACAGAAATACGTTTCTCCTTTGCATCCCTCTTCTTGGGGGGGTACAAACCGTCTTTCAGGCCCTACCCAAATGGTTTCCCTCCCTTCATTCTTGCCTCTGCCCTGACCTTGGTCAGGTGCAGAAAACCACGCTGGTGCCCCCATGCCTCTCCCACCTCTGCGGTGGCGTCTTGCGTCTTTGCTCACTCCACCCTTCCGCCCTCGCCTTGCCCCCACCACAGGTGAAGCACCAGAGGGAACTGTTTTTCGGCTGAGTTGTATGGATTGACTTTAGCCCACTGTAAATACACCTGGGCCGGGGTGGGGTGGGGTGTTCAGGGAGGGGAAGCCAGACTCGCTTTGTGAACTGAATGTATTTTTATGCAATTTTGAGTGGCCTTTCAACCCTGAGATGAATGATTTGTTTTATCGGTTGTTATTATATAGTATTAAGTATTCTGTGTTTGAAATTTTGAGAATAATAATATTCACATCTATATGATGCCTGTAAACACAACAGTATTTATAAATGAGTAAATAAAACTGTGTTTTAACTTTGTGTTGCGTCTCCACAGTTCAAGAAGTGGGGTTTACAGAATCTCAAATCTAGGCAACTTCTTCCGATTTCACGTGGTCACTGTGACCACTGGGGGGCCTTGCCCACCAGCTCCTACAACTCCTGTCCCCCAGAGGTTGCTCCCCCGGGACAGTGACCAGCAGTGGCTGTCTGGGACTGTCTGGGAGCACCAGGGCGTGCCCCAGATGGAGTGCATTCCAAAAAACCCTAAGAAGACAGCCCGGCTCCCAGTTCCAAGTGACCACAAGTGTGGGCTGAATGACCCACGCTGAGCCCACGTGGGTGGCGCTCACGCACTGTGGGACGTGGGCACATGGAGGTCTCCCGGCATGACCCCAAGTCCCCTGCTGCACACCCGTCTTTGTTAAAAGGTCACGCTGGATTCCAAACCACTGTGCAGTCCCAGACTCCAGATGTGGCTGACGGGGTGAGCTGGAGGTGAAATCCAGGCTCAAAGCACAGGGGTCGTAGCCAGGCAGAAGCTGCCAGGCCTGCTGGCAGGGGGTGTAGGGGGGTGGCCAGGTCTGCCCCGGGAGGCTGGGGTCTGGTTTACCCATCAGCAAGCTCTGCCCAGCGCCGTGCTTTGTGCCAAGCGGAAATCCCCAGAAACTGACTTGGAGGGAGGTTGGGAGGGAAGATTCTTTTCCCCTGCTGTCACCCAGCTGTTGGGAGCCCAAGCATCGGCAGAACAAACACACATGATGTCATGGTTGAAGAGTTCAGACCTGTCCCGAGGCCCAAGACACAGGCAGAGCAGCGCGGCTGTGTCTCGCACTGGCTACAGCGAGGTCTGCACACACAGGATCACCTGGCGGTCACCCAGGCCCCCAGCCTGCCCTGGGGACACATGTTGGAGGACCCAGGCCCTTGCCTGCCGGCTCCTGTGGGCCCTGTCCCAGTCTTGCCTTCACTGTTCCTCACGCACCTGGCCCTGACAGCGGAGCAGAGGGCTTGCTGGTGGACGCCAAAAGTCAGGGCTGGCCCAGCTTCCACGCAGGGGTGGGAGCTCAGGGCTTTAACCCTTTCCTGGCCTTACAGGCAGTGCTGCCAGACTCTCTTAAAAATTCTGAGGACTTCATCGAGATTCTCTTGTCAAACTCCCATCACTGAGCTCACACTGGCCACTCCCGGCTCTGCCGGAAGGGAATTCACAAACGTGGGCCACCCCAGGGCCCAGGAAGGACTCCCCACAGCACCACCCTTCCCCCTGGGCAGCAGTGGCCACACACGTGTTCACAGCCAGGAGGTGCCGGAGACCCATACCCACCACGGATCGCCAGAGCATGGGCCCCCCAGCCCCTTTTGCTGCTTCTCCGAAGGCAGATGCGGGCTGGGGGCCAGAGCCTCAGGACCCCCACACGGCACCTAGCAAGCAAGGCAACACCCCCCACCCCCGGATTTCTTTCAGCTCATTTCTTTAATAAGGAGACGCAGCTCATTACAAAATAACAGTTTGACAAGAGGTCAGACGAGAACAACAGAGTCCACGAAAGGGGTGGAGAGCGGTGCCAAGCAGAGGAGGGGGGCGGGGGGGCCAGGGCTCCATGTGTGTCCTTCCCACGAAGGCAGGCGGGGCTCGTGGTGGGGCCGGAGCGCTCTGCCTGACCCTGGCTTGGAAGTGTCCAGGCCCCAGGGTTCAGGAGGCAGCACATCAAGTCCTTAGGCGGGCAGCAGTCGGCAGAACGAGCTTCTGTGACGAGACCCCGACTCATCCCCCCGCTGGGCGCCGGGGGAGGCTGGGCGGGGCAAGGCTGGCGGCACAGCCCCCTGCCTGCCGCCTGGCACGCCGCACTGCCCACTCACTCCCGGCCTGTGCGGTGGGCGAGAGTGGGGCGGCCCGGAGAGCGCTGGGAAGAGGCCGGCAACGGTCCCCTGGCATCCCCCACAGAGCCCTGGTTCTCCTAGTCCGTAAATGGCAGAGCCTCCCTCACCACCACTTGTCTCACCCCTGCCTAACTCTTCTCACCCCTGCTCTGTCCTGCCTGAGCCCCCTTGCCTTCCCATGCATGGCTGTGCTCTGCCGCCAGGGGGCGCCCGCTGCGGGCAGCATGTCCCTCTCTGACTCCGTGCCAGGGAGCTTTGCAGGCTCCAGTTCCCCTCTGCCCACCTCCCCACAGCCTGGCGCACCTGGCTGGGTCCCTCCCAGGGCAGATGGGGGCCAGGGAGCCTAGTGCACACCTGCCCTGCTAAGTCCCTAAAGCCACACCTCACAGCCACCGCCCTGCCCACCCCTCCCAAGAAAGGGTCCAGGACTGTGGCGTCCCCAGCACTGTCCCCTCCACAGCAGGTTGCAGGTGGAGCCTGCTCAGGCAGAGGCAGCGGGGGCCGTCTCCCAGGGCCCCACCAGAAGCCCTAGACACCGTCGTCCTGGTGACACAGGGCCGAGGGAGCGGGAGGGGGTGACAACAGGTGAGCCCTTCACAAGTGTTCTGTGGGGAGCCAGTCAGAGGGACACGGGGGTCCTGGGAGGAGCCGAGGGCGGGCTCCAGCAGGAGGCCCCCTTTATGGCTTTTCAGTTAATTCAGACAGTGGGAGGAGGGTACCACACCACACACATACACAGGACACGAAGCCACAGGACGCCGGACAGCAGGCTGGACAGGTTGGCTCTGCAGACGGAGGTGCAGCCGACGGGCCCGGGGCCGGCAGCGGCCTCCAGCATTGCCGGGACCCATCTGCTCCCCGGGTGGGGGTGGGGACAAATATTTCACAGGACAGAAAATCAAAAGGGGCGGGGTGCGGGGCTGGGAGGAGGAGCTCTGGGCACTGCCAAGCAGCTATTTACAGAGCTGGAGACACGCATGCTGACTCCGGGCTCGGCCAGCGGGCGCAGCTCATTGCTTCGTGGGTGTCTAACTACCGTGGGGGGTCAGACGGGGCGCAGATGGCTTTAGAAGCTCTGGTTGTGTTGTCGCTTAAAAAATGAATGTCTTTTCGTGTGTCTTCGAGTCAGAGTCCCCTTCTCAGTATTGCAGTTTGAAAAACAGGTGGAAGTCAAATCCTTGGTGACCAGTGTCTGCCCCCCGGCCCCACCCCACCGGGGCTGAGGGCGGGGGGAGGGGGAGTGGTCGGCAGGGAGGGGTTGCCAGACACAGTCCAGGATGGCCGCTGACATCTGAGTTCCGGGGACAGGAGCCGGTCTCAGTGCCAGGGACAGGCCACACTTAGACTCTTCTTCCTTCGGCTGACATTCAAATAGGACTGGGCATTCTGTATTTTCATTGGCCAAATCTGGCAGCTGTGCCATGGGGCCCTGGGCCACCAGGATGAGACCAGGACTCCTCCCTGCCTCCCCCCCCCCCGACTCTGACAGAGGGCCCTGACCAGCCCGAGGTGGGCGGGGGGAGGGGGATAGAGGGAGGGACAACGCAGGGGATAGGGGGCAGCGTCTTCCTGCCTGGGAGGGGGATGGGCTGTCCCTCTATTAGATGGGGCTGGGGGGGGGGGGGCGGGACAGGGGACGAGGACGCCTGAGGAATTATCCTGCGTGAGAATACCTCGGAACCGCTGCCTCCCTCACCCCACTGCACAGACGCAGGTCCGTGAGAGCCGCGTGTACCCGCGGGAGGGCTGCGCGACCCCTCCTTCCTCTCTCAGCAGCACCCCAAGCTGACTGCAGACCCAACTACCAGTGGTTTCCTGGGGAGAAAAAGGCTCCGGATCTGGGAGCGCAACCCGCACCCTGCTGTCCCAGACAGGGGCTCCGAGAGTCACGGCACAGTCACGCCGCGCGCCTGCGCCTGCGCAGCCCCAGGCGGCCGCCTTCCCAGGCCTCGGCTTTCGCCTCCCACGCCCAGGAGTCTGCCGGTAGCTCAGGCAGAGGGGGCTTCCCTGCGAGGATGAAGACAGCGTCCAAGCCTCACCCGCCCCCACCCCACTCCAGTGGAACTGGGTTTGGGGTTCATGGCTCAGCCCCCTGTGTAAGACTCACTTCTGCTCCAACTTCCTGCCTCTCACAGCCCCAGAAGCACACAGACACCCTGACCGAAGCCCACTTAGGGCCTCCGCCCCAGCACCTGCACACCCCCTAGAAACAGCCCTGCGTGGCAGCCAGGGTGTGGAATGAGGCCCTCGGTGTAGAAACTCCACAAGCATCAGCACGCCCCCGCCAAGCCCGCAGCCCAGACAGGTGCACGTGCTCCCGGCGCTCAGCAGGGCAGGGGCACCTGGGGAGGAACCGCCCCCACGCCACTACGGTGGGGGCTCAGGGGCTCAGCCACGTCCCCACCCTCCAGGGCAGCTCAGAGGAATGAAATCCAGCCAGTCTCCAGGCACAGGGACACCCAGACCACCAGAGCTGCAGCCATTTCTTCTCCTTTGGGGGGGGGGGGGCGCACGCTTACCAAGCTCAAGGGCAGAGAAGACACCCACGTGGTAGCAGGTGGGCTGGGGGCAGGGCAGGGGGAGGAAGGCAGAGGGGGTGAGACTGAGGAGTTTCCATGAGGAGCGTGGAGGGGACCGACCCTGAGGAAGCACCAAAGTCCCACAGCACTGGGGACGGGAGAGGAGTCCAGGTGTCCACCCCAGGATACGCCACTCTGCGGCCACCCAGGCTCCGAGGGCACCGCCTGCCCGCTGACTGTACCAGGGCCAAGGACCAGCTCACAACCTCATCAGAGCCCTGCCTTCCCACCGTTCCAAGCGCACACACACACACACACAGAGCGTATAACATCGTAACTTCCCAGGGTGCTCCTGAAACCAAGGGCTCAGCAAGGGAGGCAGGCTGAGCCCGGCTGCCGGGCTGTTCCCGGCGGAGACCCCTTCAGAAAGCAAAGCCCAGCAAGTGCGCAAGCCCCTCCCCTCCCTTGCAAAGTGAAATAAAAGGACACTGTGCACCTGGTTCAGACTGGGCCCTCAGCCGCACCCTGTCCCACAGCGTCCATCTGCCTACAGGGGCCCAGCTGGGGCAGGACAGGAAGTGCCGCCATTTTTGCTGGGAAAGAAATGACAAGGATGGAAGAGAGAGGCCAGAGAAGGGAGGCAAAGAGGCGTGGCCTCTGGCCTGTGGGGTGGGGGCGTGACTCCGGCCCAGGCGGAAGGCTGGAAGGGGCTCAGTGGGCTCAGTGCTAACGGGACTAACATATATATGGCTTTTTATCAACGCTGGGGACAAAGGGTGACAACCGAGCTGGGGGCGGAAACCCTGGCCAGTCTCCTCCACCTCCTGTTGGCATTCGTAGAGAGAAACCTCCCCAGTGAGTGAGCACGGGCACCCCCACAGGCGCCTCCGGGCTGCTCCGGCTGCTCATGGGCCCTCGGGTGGCCCATGCAGAGGGGGCACCAAGTGGCCGTCAGAGGGGGCACCGCAGCACATCCAGCCTCTGCCGCCTGCCCCGCCTCCGGGTGTGGCCACGCCCCTTCCTACCTGGCCCCCAGGGGCACTAAGCACATTTAAACCATCCTTCCAAAGTTCTCTGGCTCTGGACAAAGTCTGCAGACAGCACTGCGCTTACAAAATAAACAGCAGCAAAGCACAATGGGGGTGGGGGGCGGGGACCAAGGCCCAGGACCCGCTCTGCTTCTGTCTCGGAACAGGAGCCGAAGCTTGGTGTCTCTGGGCCGGGGGACTTCCGGTGCTTCGCGGTTCGGAGTTCAGGATCTCCAAGTACGAGATCCTGGGCTGACGGTCCGTGCTGGGGGCTGACCCACTAGCGAAGAGTTCATGTCCGTGAACGCCCCAGAAACCACGCTTCCGGGCCAGCACGGCTGGCGGGAGGAAGTGCACGGAGGCGTCGGGGATGTGGCCCTGGGTCTGCACGCACCCAGGCCCCACGTCTCGCTGCCTCCCACGCAGGAAGCTGAGCGCCTCTGCAACCCGACCCGCAGCCTGCGCCTTCCCCGCCAGCTCGGAGGGGACCTCCCACTCACACAGCCGACTTTCTCCATTTCCGGGTCCCACACAGCGTCGCTGTCCACGGCTCCTTCCACGAGCGAAGACAGAGGCTCGAAGACACGCACGCGGGCGCACGCACACCCACGCCGCCCCGGCCTCACCAGGAAACGGGATGTGCTGCCAGCATCGGCCAGTAGAGGGCCTCACGCAGGGTGAGGTGTGCATGAAGCTTTTGAAAGAGTGGGACAGGGACAAGGGCAGGGCATGCAGCGAGGGCAGCTCCTGGGACAAGGGACAGAGCCAGGCTTTCCTCTCACCTCTCGGGGGACTGTCCCACACGGCCATCAAAGGGAAGTCGGTCTTTAAAAAGAGGAGAAGGCAGGGGAAAGGAGGACACGCCCACAGACGGATGGGAACACCTCTAAGGTCGCGTAACTGAGGTATTGAGAGCTCTGGATCCCGTCAGCGTCCGCGCAGGGCGCGGGTCCCGGCGCCGCTGCCGCCTACTTGTTCTTGCCCAGCAGCGCGTCCACCTCCTCCTCGGGCTTCAGCGAGTGCCACTGGGCAATGGGCCTGCGCGGGTTGGCCAGCATGTCGGACCAGTGCCGCAGCTCTGTGCCCGTGGCGTTGCTGCCCACGAAGATCTTGCCGATGGCTTCGTTCTTGCCCAGTTTGTCATAGTCCAGCACGGTGACCACCACCTGGACTTTCTGCAGAGAGAGCAAAGCGGGGTGTTGGGGAGGCGGGGGGAGGGGCGGCCAACTCCCCCCACCTCCGGGGGCTGCGGCTGAGTCTGCACTGACCCCGAGGTAGAGACACACCTTTCTGAGCTGGTGCTGGGCTCTAGGCACTATGGGAAGCACTTGGCGCCCCAGGGGTTCGGGGGAGGGGGAGTGAATGTGAACTTCACCTCTAGAGGGCAGCAGACACATAAATCACAAACTTGACCCAGAGTGAGGGAGCGAACGCACAGGGTGCTAAGGCCAGACAGAGGAGGTGGCAGGTCCTCCGCCAGGCAGAGGAGGGAGGGACACAGAACGGGGACTGAAGGCTGAGGATTTCTCCAGGGGGAGAAGAGGGAACAGATTAGCCTGGGGAGAGTCGGAGACGGAAGGCGTGGCAGGAAGTGAAGTCACCTGAGACAGAGTGGCCCTGGGGGGTTAGAGAAGCCGGGAAGAGGGGTCCCAGGGGAGGAGGGGTCCCGCTGGGGGGCTGGGATGGCCACTGGGCACCCAATCCAGGCGATGCCGGCAGGGCGGGGTGGGGGAGGCGGGACCAGGGGGAGCGGGCTAGGAGCAGAGACTCACGGCGACCCGGGGCCAGGTGCATTTGTGGAGTGCACAGCCGACAGCTCCCCCGCCGGCCCCTGCGGCCCAAAGTGAGCTGGTGGCAGGCCCATCCCCAGCCCCCTCCCAGGCTCCAAGGCAGGGCCCGCGCACCTGGATCTGCTCGAAGGGGATCTCGAAGCTGAAGGACTCATTGAAGTAGGGGTTCAGGGTCTTCTTCTTCACCGTCGTCTTCTTCTTCTTGAGCCGCTTGCCGTTCTGCATCAGGTGGATCTTGACGTAGGGGTCTGTGGAGGGACCCAGCCTCAGACCCCGCCCCGGCCAGGCCCCGCCCTGCGAGCCCACACAGGTGGCCCCGGTGCAAGGGTGGTGTAAGGTTTCCGGGGTCCCGGGCCCAGCTCGGAGCGGCCGGCCCTGGCTGCCGGGAGCGTGGGTGCCTGAGTCTGAGGGAGACTCACACGCGAGAAAAGTGTGGAGACCGTGGGCGACGCCGGTGCCGGGCAGCCGGCGGGGAACTGCCACGTCGTGACCCCCACCCCCTCTGGTCCTCCTGACCCTGCACAGGGGAAACTGAGGCCAGGAGATGCCTCAGCCTCACAGAGCCACGGCAGACGCGACACCCAGAGCCTCCTCCCGAGCCCGCAGCCTCTCCCGAGAGGGGTCCGACGGTGGGCCGTGTCCTGGAGGCACACCTCAGGCCAAGGCCTGCTCTCTCCCTACACTTGGCCAGGAGAAGTAAAATCCCAAATCGTTCCTGTAGGGGATGGAATCTCTCTGGTCCTGTCCTCCACGGCCCAGAGGCAATGGCCAGAGTGCATGGGGAGGCAGCTTGGACTGGGGCCAGGGGACTTTTGCAGAAAGAGGAGCTGGGAGGGCAGAGCCCCACTGCTCCATGGGGAGACATCCGGGTCCCAGGATGGGAAAGTTTTTCCCCTGGCTGGGTGTGCACATGCTGGGGTTCCGGGCCGTGCCTAGCTCGCTGGCGCCACCTGCTGGCCGCCAGAAACTCTGCACGTACCTGAAAGGCCGCCCACGTCCATCTTCTTGAGGTTCTTGGCTTCCAGGATGCATACGGTGAGCTTGCCGGCCGTGGGCACGTAGCGCAGGGAGGTGCAGATGTCACCCAGCTTCTCTGGCTGTCCAAGGGGTGGGGGTAGGGGGGAGCAGGGCTCAGGTCACCTCAGCCATGCCCCTGCCTCTCACATGCCTGACCCCATCTCGCTGAGCCCAGCACGGCCGTGACTTGTCACCTCCTGTCTCAGAGGCCTGAGACTCAGCAGCTGACCTCAGGCAGCCCAGCAGCGGCTGACGGCTGAGCGGGGCACAGCAGCGGCAGGGCCGGGCAGACGCTGGGTATGCTCAGGCGAGGGCAGGAGCAGTGGGTGTGGCACCAAGCGTTCCCTCCCGAGGGCACAGGAGCTGGGCGTCTGGGAGCCCTCCTGCCGCATTGCGCCCACCCACTGCCGTCTCTCCAAGCCACGGGCTCCCTTCTCTCTGCTCACTGCCATCTGTCCGTCCTACAGGCAGGGGGGTGGCCAAGCCTCTCTACTCACCCCTCACTGCCTAGCGGGCTGGTGGGCATGCCAGGGGCTGGGTGGCACTAGGGGCGGGGCCAAGTTGAGTGAGTGATGCTTGGGAGGAGGAGCGGCTACCACAGAGATTTTGGTATACAGCAGTTGCTCAATAAATACAAGGACACTTCAAAATTTCAAGGAGGGCAGGCGTTTGGTGCAATGGGTTAAGCCACTGCTTGATACACCCTGGTCGCATGTGGGAGCACCTGGGTTACAGTCCCCGCTCCCTCTCTGCTCCAGCTTCCTACAGATGCACACTGGGGGCCGGCGCTGTCGCAAGCAGGATAAGCTGCCACCCGCAACATCGTACCGGCATCCCATACGGGCGCCAATTTGAGTCCCGGCTGCTCCACCTCTGATCCAGCTCTCTGCTGTGGCCTGGGAAAGCAGTGGAAGATGGCCCAAGTACCTGAGCCCCTGTACCTGTGTGGGAGACCTGGAAGAAGCTCCAGGCTCCTGGCTTCAGATCAGCACAGCTCTGGCCGTTGCGGCCATTTGGGGAGTGAACCAGTGGATGGAAGCTCTCTCTCTCTCTCTTTGTCTCTCTTTCTCTCCCTGTAACTCTGCCTTTCAAATAAATAAATATATTTTTTAAAAAATGCACACTCTAGCCAGCACCATGGCTCAATAGGCTAATCCTCCGCCTGCGGCGCCGGCACACCGGGTTCTAGTCCCGGTCGGGGTGCTGGATTCTGTCCCGGTTGCCCCTCTTCCAGGCCAGCTCTCTGCTGTGGCCTGGGAGTGCAGTGGAGGATGGCCCAAGTGCTTGGGCCCTGCACCCCATGGGAGACCAGGAGAAGCACCTGGCTCCTGGCTTCAGATCAGCACAGTGCGGCGGCCATTGGAGGGTGAACCAACAGCAAAAGGAAGACTTTGTCTCTCTCTGTCTCTCTCTCTCACTATCCACTGTGCCTGTCAAAAAAAAAAAAAAAAAAAAAAAAAAACCAAACAAAACCCACTCTGGGACACAGCAGGTGATGGCGCTAATACTTGGGCCCCTGTCACCCACATGGGAGACCCGGGTTGAATTCTGGCTCCTGGCTTCAGCCTGGCCCAGCCAGGATGTTGCTGGCACTTGGAGAGTGAGCCAGTGAATGGAAAATTTCTGTCACACTGCCTTTTAAATAAACACTATATATTTTTTAAGCTTTTTAAAGATTTAGGTACTGGGGCTGTCACTGTGGCGTAGCAGGTAAACCGCTGCCTGCAGGGCCGGCATCCCATATGGGCACTGGTTCGAGTCCTGGCTGCTCCACTTCCGATCCAGCTCTCTGCTATGGCCTGGGAAAGCAGTGGAAGATGGCCCAAGTCCTTGGGCCCCTGCACCCAGGTGGGAGACCCAGAAGAAGCTCCTGGCTCCTGGCTTCAGATTGGTGATGCAGTTGTGACCATTTGGGGAGTGAGCCAGGGGATGGAAGATCGGTCTGTCTGTCTGTCTCTCTTTCTCTACCTCTCTTTCTCTCTGTGTGTAATGCTGACTTTCAAATAAATAAATAAATCTTTGAAAAAAAGATCTATGTACTTGAGAGGCAGAGTGATGAGGAGATCTCCCACCCACTGGTTCACTCCCCAAATGTCCACAACAGTCGGGCTGAGCCCGGCAGAAGTCAGCAGCCAGGAACTCAATCTATGTCTCGTACATGAGTGGCCGGGGCCCAAGCGCTCGAGCCGCCATCTGCTGCCTCCCAGGTGGGGAGGCAGAGGGGGGACTTGGTTTGCAAAACCCCAGCGTGGGACGAGGGGGTCCTTGGCGGCAGGCTGACTCGCTGCTCCACAGTGCCCACAACCCTCAATTTTAAAAAAATGAAGAAAACATTCCATGGAAGTCCACATCCTTTCACTGCGTTTTCCACAAGCTTTGCCGCACGCGGCGCGTGAGCGAAGGCTGCAGTGGTCGCTGGGGGAAGGTCCCCACACTGGGCGTCCTTTATAAAAAGGGCAAACGGCATCTTTCCTTGTGCGCACACCAAGGCAAGGTCAGGCACCGCGGTCCCAAGGCAGAGCAGAGCCCAGCACCTCCCAAAGCCCAGCCTCTGCGCCACGCGCGTTATACATGGCGCATCGCCGTCTGGAGAAGGAGACTAGACAGAATTTCAGCAACTTGCCAGGCCCAACAGCTGGGCCACGTGGGGCCAAGACCCTGACCCGGGGGAGGGCTTGGCGCGCGGCCGCATGCATGCCATGGTCTCGCTCTCACCTCCTCCTTCTCGCCGCCCTGCAGGTCTCGCCACTCCTCGATGGGCTGGCCGAGGTCCACCGTGTTCATGGGCACCTTCACCTCTCCGATGATGTCGTGCTTGGAGAAGCGGTCAAAGTCGTAGATGGCCATCACCAGGGTCTTGCCCCCCAGCTCCTGGTAGGGCACCTGCAGGGCACAAGCAGGATCAGAAGGGGCCAGAGTGACGCGTGCGCCTCCAGGGGCTGCTGGGAGCCGGCCAATACACCTGAGTTCCGGCCAGCCCCAGGGAGGGAGGGAGAGGGCGAGAGGCCCTGGGGCTCCGGTGGGCTGGGTGGGTCCCCAGGCCTGCAGAGGGGCCACATCCAGCCTGCCAGGGTCCCAGACTGAGCCGATGCAGGCCTTGGCCTCAGCCAGGAACCAAGGGTAGGGCCGGGGGCAGCAGGGACCTTGAAGGTGAAGGTCTCATTGAAGGCGGGGTTCAGGGTCTTGCGGTGCACTTTGGTCTCGTATTTCTTCTTCTTGTCTGGAAGGAGGAAGACTTTGACGTAGGGGTCTGAGGTGCCTCCCATGTCCAGGGCAGGTAGCTCTGCAGCCTGCAGCACGCCCACGGTCAGCTGCAGGGACAGGGAGAGAGGGGCCCACGTCTCAGGACTGTCTGAGTCCACGCCTGGCGGAACCTTCCACACCCTGTGCCCTGTGGTCCCCAGCCTGCCTGGGTGCACGGAGGAGCCATGCCCCACCTCTAGGGGGCGCTGTTTCTCTCCCTGCCCCGGCCCCTCATACCTGGTTGGCTTGGAAATCGTAGTCCAGGGAGAACTGCAGCTTGCCCAGGTTCTCCGGCTCTTTCTCCTCCTCTCCCTCACCCTCTCCCTCGGTCAGGCCCGTCTCCGCGTCGTCGTCATCCTGCGGGGCTGGGGAGGAGACGGGCACAACCTGGATCCACCTGTGGGGCCTTGCCCGCCCCACGGCTGGGAGTCGGGGTGAGGGGGGGAGTGTAGCCCTGCTCAGGCGTCCTGGCCTCTCCCAGCCCCACGGGGCCCCCAGGCCGCCCCTGTGAACCCCAGCCCTGCGTCTGGAAGGGGGCGTGGTGCCGGGATGCGCTGCTTCTCCCTCCCACGACGGCCTGGAGCTGGGCGGGATCTGCGCCGGGGGCTCCACAGCCTCTCCGGGCAGAGGGGATGGGCTTGCTGTGGAGACCCCTCCCACCCCCCCGCGCTCTCCCAGCTCGGACCCCACCCGCGGGCGAGACGTACCAGGAGTGGGGTCCAGACAGGCGGGAGCAGGGTGAGTTCAGAGGTGGAGAGAGAAGGGAGAAAGTGATGCGCGAGAAAACGCAGCTCCAGCCCCGCCCCCACAGCCACTTGGGACCCCTGCCCCGACACGCGCACAGGGCAGGGCAGGCCCCCTCTGGGCCATGCACCTGCGCATTCACGCACACACACGCACTCCAGGCCTTCCTCCTTTCTCCACGTTGATTCCTTGAGCCAGAGCTTTCTCCCGGTCACCCCCATCGACAACAAACGTGGGGACAGAGAAGCCCACAGGGGCCTCTGAAAACTTGAAAGGAGAAACTGGCCATCTAGGGACCTCTCCGGGCTGCCCCACACCTCGACAGCAGCAAGCACCCTAACTCTCGGTGTGACCAGGGAGCCGCTCCATCCCACCCGGTCTGGGTGGCCGAGGACCCCCTAATGCTTGGCTAGACAGGAAAGCCCAGGCTGACCCCACAGAGCAGAGCTGGGTCCAAACCGACCCCAGAGAGCGGAGCTGGGACCAGGCTGACCCCACAGAGCGGAGCTGGACCCAGCTCTCCAAGGTCTTGGCCGGGGAGCCTCTGTGGGGCTCACTGCACCGTTCTCGTCCTGTCTCCTAAGGAGCTTGCACCCCAGTGGGCACCCTCTTCCCCCACCCAGCTGCTGGGGAGAGATCCTCCCAGAACCACAGCCCCGGCCCCGCCCCGCCCCTCCCGGCCCCGCCCCGCTGGCCCCGCCCCTCCCGGCCCCGCCCCGCCCCGCCCCCCACCTGGCCGCCCTTCATGTCTTTCATGTTCATGGCGTTCTTCATGCCTTTCCCCTTCTCCTTCTTGTTCTTCTTCTTCTTGCAGCAGCACTTCTTGCAGATGCAGAAGCAGCAGGTAAGCAGCAGGAGGCCGGCGACCACGGCGATGGCGATCAGCGCCCAGGGCGGCACTGCGGCACACGGAGCCCCCACCCCCGGAGTCAGCAGGGTGGGGTCCCTCGCCCCTGCCCCAAGGCGCTGGCATGAACGGTCGCGGCGAGGACCGCCCCGACAAGGCCCACGCTCCACATCGCTGAGCCCCGCACCCACGCGTGACTGGCATGAAGCCGTGTTCCTCGCAGGCTCCATCCCTCGGCTGTCCTTAGCCTGCTGGTCCCGTGGACACAGCCGCTATCTCCTGGAGCGACAGGTGCACCCCCGGCACATCCCCTCTCGGCTCTTCGGAGAAGGGGCAGACCGGGAGGAGACAGCCCCCGCCCCAGTTCCTGTGCCCTATTTTGACAGGGCTGAGCAGACACACAGGAAGCTCCCCAAGGTTTGGCTGCTCCTGGGGGCCGCGCTGGGCCGCTCTCGGGTGTCTGGGGCTGGGCGCTGGGCTGCTCCTCCTGGTGGGGAAGGGCCGTCTCCCACCAGGGGCGCCTCTCCCGTGTCAACCGCGTCTCAGTGTCTCCTACACAGCCTTTGCCAGGGCTTCCACACACAGTGGGAACTTCTATTTCCCATACTCCCAAATAAAGCGGTTTCAACAGGCTCCTCCTACTTGGGCAGTGTTTTCCCCTGGGAGGCCGGGCCACTGCAGATCCTTCTCTCTCAGTCCTGATGGGCCTCCCCAAAGACACCCCGGAAATCCAGGCACTAGCAAAGAGCCCAGCCAACCCCGTCCCTGGTGGCCCCGTCCCGCCCCCTCAGCCCCGGGCACTCACGCGGGATCTTGTTGATCTCGTTGAAGAACTTGTCTTTCAGCTTGGCAAACATGTCCTCCTGGCTCTCCCCAGCGCCCCCGCTCTCCGTGGAGTTGTCTGCGGGCCCCACCGGCATGGTGGCCGTGGTGGTGGCAGGAGCCACCATGGGCTCCTGGTTCCTCTTGAAGATGTTCCTCATGGTGGCAGAGGGGCCGGCTGGGAGGAGGGAGGGAGGGCCAGCTGAGCACCCCGGGGGTCACTGGCCCCGGAGGGGGGGGAGAGTGGGTGGGGGGCAGGAGAGGCAGAGCACTGTTGGCCACGCGCGCCCTGTAGTTCAAGGCTGTTTTATTCCACGTGAGCCACGACAACTGTCATCACCGGTGAGTCCCCACGTGTGCCTGGGACCATGCATTAGCATATATAACTATTAGCGTATTCAACGATTAGCATATTCAACTATTAGCATATTTAATCCCAGCAACCACTCCCACTTCTCAGGCAAGGAAGCAGGGGTTCAGAGTTCTCAGGCTGGCTGGAACCGGTCTGCCTGTGGATCCCATTGATGGGTTTCCTATAGCTCATTTGTTTTTTAAAGATTTATTTATTTATTTGAGGCCTGGCGCCTGCAGTGCCAGCATCCCACATGGGCACCAATTCGAGTCCCGGCTGCTCCACTTCCCATCCAGCTCTCTGCTATGGCCTGGGAAAGCAGTTGAAGATGGCCCATACACCCAGGTGGGAGACCCAGAAGAAGCTCCTGGCTCCTGGCTTCCGATCAGCACAGCTCTGGTCAGTTGTGGCCATCTGGGGAGTGAACCAGGGGATGGAAGACCTCTTTCTCTCTCTGCCTTTCAAATAAATAAATAAATCTTTTTTTTTTTTATTTGAAAGGTAGAGTTACAGTCAGTGAGAGAGAGACAGAGAGAAAGGTCTTCCCTCCATTGGTTCACTCCCCAAATGGCCGCTATGGCCAGAGCTATGCCAATCCGAAGCCAGGAGCCAGGTGCTTCCTCCTGGTCTCCCATGCTGGTGCAGGGGCCCAAGCACCTTGGCTATCCTCCACTGCCCTCCCGGGCCACAGCAGAGAGCTGGCCTGGAAGAGGAGCAACCGGGACTAGAACTCGGCGCCCATATGGGATGCTGGCGCCGCAGACAGAGGATTAACCAAGTGAGCCATGGCACCGGCCCCAAATAAATAAAGCTTACCAAAAAAGATTTATTTATTTGAAAGGCAGAGTGACAGAGAGGGAAAGAATCTTCCACTGCTTCCCAGGTGCATTAGCGGGAGATGGATCGAAAGTGGAGGAGCTGAGACCCACACGGGCAAACCTATGTGGGGTGTGGGCGTCCCAAGTGGCGGCTGAGCCCGCTGGGCCACAGCACCGACCCTGCTATCTCGTTTAGATCCAACCTTGTGAGCCCAGGGAGGAGGCGAGGTCAGACCACCGAGGACACCGTGAGCCGCTCTCCTCCCTGGGCTCCCTGGTGTGGCTCAGGAAGGAGTCCCCGCCTCTCTCCAAAGCTGGTGCCCTGCCCCTCCCCCCAGCCCTCCTGCGCCCCGCCCCGGCCGTACCCCCAGCCCTCCTGGGCCCCCCCAGCCCTCCTCTCTTTCTTTCGGGTGTCCTCGGCGCTCCTCCGGGCCTGCACCCACCTCTCCCCCTGGAGGCGGCACCCAGACCGCATCCCGACCCCTCCCTGGGCGTCAGCTGCCTCTGGAGCTCAAGTCCAGGTCCACTCAGCTGCACGTTAGCCTTCCTACCTCAAACAAGTGGTGACCACGGAGAAAAATGGGGATCCAGCCCCCCCGCAGGAGACTGGGCGGGTGGGGGGAGGAGAGAGAGACCCATCATGCTGATGGCCAAAGACAACTGAGACCAGCATTTGAGGCTGTGGCTGTGGCACCCTGAGCTAAAGCTGCTGCCCGCGGCACCAGCATCCCCCACTGGAGTTCCTGTTCCAGCCCCTGCTGCTCCACTTCCAAACCAGCTTCCTGCTAACGTGCCTGGGAAAGCCGGGGAAGATGGCCCGTGTTCTTGGGCCCCTGCACCCACCTGGGAGACCCGGATGAAGCTCCTGGCTTCAGCCTGGCCCAGCCCTGGCCGTTGAGATTATCTGGGGAGTGAACCAGAAAATGGAAGTTCTCTTTCTCTTTGTGGTCTCCCTCTCTCTCTGTCACTCTACTTTTCAAATAAATAAAATAAATCTTTAGAAAAAAACAATTAGCATTTGGGGCATCTTACACCAGTATTTTCTGAGTGTGGTTTACGTATTGAGACCATATGAGATATCTATATCTATCTATATATTTCAATATTCTGCCTTTATTTTTACATAAAATTTTATTATAAGCCTTTTATCATTATAATCTTCTTTTCTCATTAAGTAGCCAAATAATATCCTACTACATGGCAGGTTCATAATTTAATGATTCCACCATCGGCTATAAATAGTTTCCAGCTCTTTGCTAATACAAACGGGCCTGTGCTGAGCGTGAAGTGTGGGCTTCATTCCAGCCCGGGTTGTTACCGGCCTCCCAACAGCCCCTCGAGACGGGCCCTCTCCACCCAGCTCACTCGCTCTCCAGGCCTCCTGGCCCGAGTCCCGGGGCCGAGACAGTCTGCCAGCAGAGGGCGCTCACGAGGTGCCTGCTGCCGGCGGCTCCGCGGGACACTGCAGGGGTCCTGCGGGTCATTCTCAGCCAGTGACAACCCACAGACCCTCTCTGCGACAACCAGCACAGCACGAGGCTCTTAAAGGAAAACCGTGAGACGTCTCTCACGACACGCGAGGGACAGAGGGATGAGTTATTCTCTCTACGTCCCCCGCTCCCAGTCCCAGCCAGCGTGGCCGTTCGGGAGTGAACCAGCAGATGGGAGTTGTGTCACTGAAATAAATAAATGAAAAATGAAAAAAAAAAAGGACCCTGCGTTTTCGCCTCCTTGTAGACTGCTCCAGCCCCCAGCCCCCAGCACCGCGCGCCACCTGGACATCGACACAGTGCGTGTTATTCACCAGATATTTTAAATGCTTGCTGTGCACTCCTATAACACATCAGAAATGCAAAATGGAGCCTGCCGGGGCTCTGCCTAGGCCAGCAGGTGGCTCTGGCTTGATGAGGTCGGCCAGGAGCCACATCACGAAACCAGGGATCTTCTCGCCATCTCCACTTTCCCTTCTTTGAAAAACGGCTTCAGAGGGGCTGGTGCTGTGGCGCAGTGGGCGGGACGCGGACATCACGTGTCCGCGCACCAGTCTGAACCCCAGCCGCTCTGTAGTTCCAACCCAGCTTCCTGCTAAGGTGCCCAGGAGGTGGCAGACGATGACCCAGGTACTCAGGCTTCTGCCACACACAAGGGAGACTCAGGTGGAGCTCCTGGCTTGGGCCTGGTGCAGCCCTGGCTGCTTCATGCATTTGGGGAGTAAACCAGCAAATGGAAGATCCTCTCTCCCTCCCTCCCTCCCCCTCTCTCTCCTGTGTGTGTGTGTGTGTGTGTGTGTGTGTGTATTTCTCTGTCACTCAGCCTTTCCAATCAATCAATAAATAAATTCTTTAAAAAAATAAAAGCAGCTTGATTGAGATAAAATTCGTACGCCACATAATAATTCAACTATTTAAATCATGCAATTGAGTGATTTTTAGGATTTTCCAAGGGTGTGCAACCATCACCACACTCCAATTTTAGAGCATTTTCACCACCCGGATAAGAAACCCACCCCTCCTGCAGCCACTCCCCGCCCCACCAGCCCTGGCAACCTCTCATCTACCTCTGTGCCGGGCCTTGCTGAGGCTATCATTGGTGGAGGGAGTCACAGAGCTCGCAGCCTGTGTGAATGTGGTGCTTTCTCAGTCCTCTCCACGTTGGGCTGTGATGGCTCAGGTGGCTCTGAACATCCAAGCTGGCTGACATCTTGCTGAGGCCGCGTACAACCTGGGCTGGACGGCAACTCTGCATGACCACCTAGGAAGCTCTCCCTGGCTCCCCCAGGTGGCTGCACCAACGTTAACACCCCACCAGTGTTCTAGGAGCACCTGTGAGGGGGGAGGCCGTGTCTCCCGTGGTTTCATTTGCATTTTCCTAATGAGCCATGATGCTGAGCCTGTCTCCACGCGCTCGCTGGACCTTTGATTGTCTTCTTGGGAGAACGGCCTGTTCACATCCGTCGCCGAGATTTTTTTTAATTGAGTCTTCGTACTATTCAGTTGTAAGAATTCTTGACATGTTCTGAACACCAGTGCCTGTCAAGGGCAAGGTTTGCAAGGCTTTCCTTCCATTCTAGAGCTGTCTTCATTTTTGATGGCATCCTTGGAAACACACATGTTTTCTCGCTTTGATGATGTCCAACTTATCTGCTGCTTTTGTTGCTGTTGTATCTAAGAAACCACCACCCAGCCGGCACTGCGGCTCACTGGGCTAATCCTCCGCCTGCGGCACCGGCACCCTGGGTTCTAGTCCCGGTCGGGGCCCCAGATTCTGTCCCGGTTGCTCCTCTTCCAGTCCCGCTCTGTGCTGTGGCCAGGGAAGGCAGTGGAGGATGGTCCAAGTGCTTGGGCCCTGCACCCGCATGGGAGACCAGGACGAAGCACCTGGCTCCTGGCTTCGGATCCACGCAGCGCCAGCCGTAGCGGCCATTTGGGGGGTGAACCAACGGAAGGAAGAGCTTTCTCTCTGTCTCTCTCTCTCACTGTCTAACTCTGCCTGTCAAAATAAACCACCCGGCCCAAGGTCACCAAGAGTCGCTCCCGCGGTGTCTTACAGGAGTCGCATAGCTGTGGTTCTTACATTCAGGTCTACGAGACACTCTGAGCTACTTTCTGTGCTCGGTGTAGGGAAGGATTCAAATTCATTCTTTCGCATATGGCTATCTCTTTGATGCAGTACCATTTACGAAAAGATCATTCTTTACTGAAAAAACTAACGTGTCCCTGTCCGATGTCAACCTACCAGAAACACAAGGGTTCACGTCTAGATTCTCAACTGAGGCATTGATGTGCACGTCCAACCTGATGCCAGCCCCACGCCGTCTGATCGCTGGAGGTTTACAGCAAGTTTTGAGGTGGTTTGAGACCTCCAACGATCTTCTTTTATTAAGACTGCTCTGGGGGCTGGCACTGTGGCACAACAGGTTAAGCCGCTGCCCGCAATGCCAGCATTCTATATGGACGTGGGTTCAAATCCCGGCCTCTCCACTTCCGACCCAGCTCCCTGCTAAGGCAC